TCAAACAAGTCGGAGCTGCTGCTTCGCGAGCAAGGAAAGACTTTCGCGGAGGAGACAGTAATGGCACTAACGCGATCCCAAGCAAGAAAGCTCTCATCAAGGTTAAGATACGAACCTAACGAGGAGGAGGGTCGGTCCGCGGCGCGCGAGGAGCTGGTCGACGGAAAGCCTGCAGGCGCGGCAAATCAAGAGGACTTGCGATCGGAGGATGCCGCGAGGAGTTCCCCACCAGATCAGCAGCAGATTCCAGAGGACCATGAGGAAGGGCAGGGTTTTATTTCGCCATTATCTCCGAGTCTGGACACGCTTCGTGTTCTTGATCGACCTACACTGATCGCAGAGCAAAAGAGTGATGCCACTCTCAAGGCATTGCCAGACGGTTACCAGGAGGGAGTAGCACATCAGAATATTTCGTTCTACACCAAGTCAGGGCTGCTATGCCGAAAGTACCGAGACAGGAAGGGCCGAGACTTTGACCAGCTGGTCATTCCGCTTAGATTTAGAGAGGATCTTCTCCGGCTGGCTCACGGGAACTGCTGGTCGGGCCATTTGGGAATCCGGAAGACCAAAGCAAGGCTGATGCAAGAATACTACTGGCCCGGATGCTGGAAGGATGTTGAAGAGTTCGTGCGATCGTGCGATGTCTGTCAGCGCGTGGGGAAGTCATCCGACAAGCACAAGGCTCCGATGCGTTTGGTTCCCATCATCACAGAGCCGTTTCGAAGGCTGGTAATTGACATCGTCGGCCCGCTTCCCGTCACGCAGTCGGGATATCGCTACATCTTGACAGCAGTGTGCCCTGCTACGAAGTTCCCCGAGGCTATCCCTCTCAAGGAGGTGAACTCCACGAACGTAGTAGATGCACTCCTTTCCATTTTTTCCCGCGTCGGATTTCCCCTCGAGATTCAGTGCGATAATGGAAGCGTCTTCACAAGCGCCCTAACTACGACGTTTCTGGAAAAATGCGGAATCAAATTGATTCACAGCTCTATTTGCCACCCACAATCTAACAGCGTGGAAAGGATGCACGGGGCGCTGAAGAGGGTGTTGAGAGCTTTGTGTTTTGAGCACCAAACAGACTGGGAAGCATGTATTCCGGCCACTATGTTCGCGCTCCGTTCGGCACCTCACGAATCCACGGGCTTCAGTCCTGCGGAGCTCGTGTACGGACGAACGCTGCGGTCACCTCTGCGACTACTACGCGAGTCACTAGAAGACCAGAGCAAGGACCCAACCGTCGTACAGTACGTTTTGGATCTCTTGCAGCGACTAAGTGAGGTACAGGTCGTTGTCGGCAAGGCCATGAAGAGGGCGCAGGAGAACTCAAAAACATTTTACGATAAGTCCGCCAAGCCGAGATCATTTCAGGTGAACGACCGAGTTATGTTGTTGATAACTTCAAAGAAAAACAAACTCGACGTTCAGTGGGAGGGCCCGGCAGTCGTCGTGCAGAAACTATCGGACCTCAACTATGCGGTGAAGTTAGAGGGTAAGAGACGGGCTGTGAAGGTGTATCACTGCAACCTCATGAAACCGTACAGGGAACGGGAGGTTATTGTGAATCTAACACTGAACGCACCCGAGGAGATTCCTCCAGAAATTCCCTCTCTGGGTACTGACACCAATCTGACGGCCGAGCAGCTGCTAAAGAAAACCAAAGGAACAAATGACCTGGAATCTTGGCAGGTTTCAGAGTTAGAGGGAGTGATTCGGGAGTTTCTGGACGTTTTCTCCGATAGGCCAGGGAGGACAACACTAACCACGCACGACATCGAGCTGACATGCGATCAGCCGATTCATGCAAGGCCCTACCGGGTCTCTCCGCGACAGAGGGAGATCATGAAACTCGAAATTGAGCGAATGATCGAAATCGGGGTCATCGAGAGAGGCGAAAGCGATTACACTTCGCCTCTTATTCTTGTGGAGGTGCCGGGTAAAGATCCCCGACCGTGTATTGATTACCGGAAACTTAACGCTATTACGCGAGACCAGACGTACCCCATTCCAAATATCGAAGAAAGAGTGGAGACAGTGAGTGGGGCGAGATTCATTTCTACTTTCGACCTGGTAAGGGGTTATTGGCAAGTGCCTCTTTCTGAAAGAGCTCGCCGGTATGCAGCCTTTATCTCACCACAGGGAACATTTATTCCCACCGTACTGAGCTTCGGCTTAAAGAACGCTCCTTTCTGTTTTTCGGGACTCATGGATCGTGTTTTGACTGGACTGAGCGACTTCGCCCTCCCCTATTTGGACGATATTGCGGTATTTTCAGGAACTTGGAGAGACCATCTCGACCACCTACGACAGGTGTTGATGAGGTTACGAGAGGCCGGACTCACGGTTAAAACCGAAAAATGTCAACTTGGAAGAGCGGAAGTTCACTACTTGGGACACGTTATCGGCCAGGGACTTCAGCGCCCTTCCGAAGTTAAAATTGCGGCCGTGGTGGAGTTCCGACGACCGACGACAAAGAGGGATATTCGGGCATTTCTGGGTCTAGCTGGTTATTACCAGCACTATATCTATAACTTTTCAGACATAGCCAGTCCTTTGACCGACGCTCTTCGTAAAAACGAGCCGCAAAACCTGATCTGGGACGACGCGAAAGAAAGCGCCTTTAAAACCTTGAAAAGGGCGTTAGTTCAAACGCCAGTGCTAAAGGCCCCTGATTATGACCAGACGTTTGTCGTGCAGTGTGACGCGAGTGATAGGGGAATTGGGGCAGTTTTGTCGCAGGTAGACGAGCAGGGAAACGAGCGACCCATTCTCTACATTAGCCGAAAGCTGACAGTTCGCGAGGAGGCTTACAGCACCTCGGAGAAGGAGTGCGCCTGCCTGGTCTGGGCTGTACAGAAGTTATCTTGTTACCTGGCCGGGACTAAATTTATCGTGGAGACAGACCACTGTCCTCTTTCTTGGTTGCAAAATATGTCCCACAAAAACGGCCGCCTCCTCCGCTGGAGTCTCGCTCTGCAGCAGCACGCATTTGAGGTGAGATACAAAAAGGGGAAGCTAAATGGGAACGCTGATGGCCTAAGCCGGGGCTTCTAAGACGTGAACGAGCTCCATGATCGGATTGTACAAATTTGTAAAGTTTTTTGTTTGTTTCAAATCCTTGGAAAGGGTCATCTTGATTTTTTTTTATTGTGTTTTTATGTCAAAGCACGCTACCATAACTTTTGTTTCTGTTTGCCTGGCTTAGGGTATGGTTTACTTTAAAGGGCTTAGTGACAGCCTGAGCTCGAGTGTCGAGTAGGGGAGATCTTAGGTAGTAGGTGGAGGGGGGTTGTCTTTATTTTTTTTTGGTCTGGCGGATCGGGGGAGGAGAGCGAAGCACTTGTCGCTACTGGGATCGTGACTTGCTATGTTTGTCTCGCCCACGCCTTCCTCTTGTGACCTGAGTTGAGGTCCCCCACTCCAGAGATTTGGACCCGACCCTCGCTTACGTCTCAAGGCAGGAGAGGATCACCGGACCCTCTCCCAAGAAAGTGAGGCACTCATCGAGTCAGCGCAGCAGTGTGGGACTGCTGCCCTCCTGATGAGCTCAGTGGCGGCGGAGGTGTTGTTGCGATAGGCCTTGGCGAAGGTCACGTCCTTCCTTCGCCTCCCCTTCTTGTCCACCCGGCGGGTTTGGCCTTCGCATTTAGGATCGGCGCCCGGCCGTCTGAGCCGTTGTTGACAGAACACGTCGCCCGGCGCCGCGTGGACGCCGCCACACCTGGGAGCGGAGCTGAGCCGGACTCCTCTCTCTGGCTGCGGGGTCAGTCGATCCAGGAACCAGCTGCCCTACCGGGAGAGGATTCCGGGGGACGACGACGGCGGCGGGACTTCCGGCCGAGTACGTTCGGCTCAAGTTTTCGTCCGGCGCCACTTGCGGATTATCCCGCTAAACCTTTCCCGAGCCACGACGCCGCACAATGAGGGGATCAGCTCCATCACGGTCAGCGTCTGACGAGCTGACAGCGGACCCTTCGTCACAAACTCCTGGCGCGGCTCATCGAGGTCAAGAATGCCCCGGCGCCGGATAGGGAAGCCCGTCCGACGCTGCAGTGTGTGCGTGTATGTGTGTGCGCGCTCGAGAGGATGAGTGGGGGCGGGGCCTGAACATGACGTTCGTTGGCAGTTCGGCCACCATTGGCTGCCATCCGCTGGAACATCAACAGCGACTGTATAAAAAGAGCAAACGAGAGGCCGCAGTGTGTGCTCTCCGACGAACATGAAACTTCTGTACATATGTAATATAAACAGAGTTTATCGCGAGACACCCTCCCGTCTCCTGATGTCCCTGCCTGGAGTCGGCCTGCGGTTCCTGTCCTCGCCTGGCCCTGCCTGAGGCTGCCTGGGGAACTCCTCGGTCGCAACAACATGAAACCGCCAAACTTGCCTTGACTTTTTTCATGCAGTTTGACGGTGGCCCACTTATTAGAGGGTTAACTTCAATGGCTACAAATGCTGAAACGTTTCGGAAAGTGGAGTGAACATGTTACAAGCCTTTCATGGGCACAAATTGGGAAGCATAAACTTAAAAAATAATTTGGGTCCACAAGGTTAGAAATAGTGCATAGAAAAGCAATCGCGGGATGCTAGCCAAACACCAAGCGTAAAAACGTCACTCTGAAGAATGCCTTCGGATCACGAGTTTGTGAAACAAAGAATGTTACCAGAAACCCACAAATCACAAATCTTTCAAAATGTAAATTTCTGGACAAACCCCAAAGTTTGTCAAACCCGTCTCAATCACTAGACTGGAAGGTTTGAAGTTCACTGACTCCATGAACTGCGCTGCACCATTTATATTTCGGCAGACTCAAAAGCTCGAGTGACATCAAACCTTTGGTTCAGAAAAAAAATGGAAACCCCTCCAACAACGCAAGTGCAAGGATCACAAAAACTTTGTGTCGCCACAACAAGCGCCCATCAAAATCCAGTCTCTTAAGACGCCCGGTATGATGCCAAAGACTCTACACGAGTTGACAAAAGGAAAAAGAAAAGAGCCATACCTATCTTGACTGGGAAACCAGGGGGCAGTTTCATCTGTACAAACTCCCTGAGCTTGTTGAAGTGTTTGAATGGAGCTATGACCTCGAGGACATTCAAGAGCCTGCAACGTCCAAACAGATGCCAACAGTTGATGGAAACTTAAAGTTTAAAAGCTGCACAGAAAAACAAAATGTTACGAGGGCGTCGGTCAGTTGGTAGCAGATACTCACGCATTCACTGAAAGCGGGAAGTGCTGACTCTGCAAAGACAAGAAAAAAGGGAAGGGATGACGTGGGACAGAAACATGCCAGCTTTTCAGAGGTACAAATACTAGTAATAGGGTCTTGTTCAGTAAGTACTAGTTTTGGGCGAACATCATTCCGACCGACTTGCTGTGAACTCTGGCGTTACCCAGGGGTCTGTGCTGGGCCCTCTCCTTTTTTTTTTTTTTTTTTTTTTTTGCTGTTTAATAATGACATATTGTAGAATACCGCGCATCCGCCCGTTCCACATGAAGCGCCCATGCCCAAACTTGTAAGATCTGAGAAAATATGCGCAGTACATTGATATGTAAAATTAATGACCAGACAAGCGCCCATCCCCCGTTTTCTTGCGATTATTTCTAAATTTTGAGTGGGCGCTTGCCCGGTATTTTACGGTAGTACAAGATGTTCCCGTGAAAGACAAATTGCATGCTGATGACTGAATAATATACTCAAAAGTAGATGGTGCTTTGGACCAGCTTTTATTAAACAAAGCCTTTCAAAATATGGCGACATGGTGCATGGAATGGCAAATGACCATTAACTTTGATAAAACTGTTTTTATGAGAATTACTAACAAAAAGCACTCTTTAAAGTTTGTTTCCAATGTTAATAATATCCCCCCCTCAAAAGTCACACAATATAAATACCTTGGACTGGGGACTACTCTTAATCTTACTTGGACAAAACAAATCGGTTACGTAACATCTAGTGCTCTGCGGAAGTTATTCTTTCTTAGAAGAGCGTTAAAACTTTCTGCCCTTTCCTTACAGCGTCTCACATATAAAACTCTAGGCCTGCCAACATTAGATTATGCTGCAATCATCTGGGATCCTTTCACTAAGATTAACCTTAGTAAACTAGGCAGTAAACTTGGTCAAGTACAAAAAAAAAGGCTGCTCGCTTTATTTATAATAACTTCGGACATACTTCCCAATCTTTTAACCAGAGTTAATTTACTGTTCTTATGTAAAAAAATCGGCATTCTCGACTAAAAGTTTTGTACCAGTTAATTAATGGTCATTATAAGGTAAACCTGTCCGAATTAATCACTTTCCCATCAGGATATGCTACTCGACAAAGGCACACTCTAACAGTAACTCCTTTTCAATTACGTAATAACTGCTTCAAGTATTCCTTCTTTCCACAAACAATAACCCAGTGGAATGATCTAACTGAGAAAGTTGTTATGCAGCCATCATTGTCATTATTTGGATCTAATTTAACTCCTTTGGCACCGTATTTGTTCATGTATACTATAACTCGTTTCCATTTTTTTTTCTTTTTGCCATAATGTTGCATTTTTTTATTATTGTACCGACCTGTGAAAACCCCATTAAGGGGAAAAGAGTCAAAGTACAGGCTAGCTGGTGGAAGTCAACCATTTCGTCATTTACCCTGAGACTGGGGGTTTTTTTGAAGAGCAAAAGTAACAGAATGCAATCCCATTAAGGGATTGCAGTATTAATAAACAAATTAATAAAAATAAATAAAATAGATAAGACCATGAAGCATGTGTATCCGGTCGACATTTTTATTTTTCTTCATATTTATTTATGTTACTCCCCAATGTATAGAAAAAACAGAATCGCAAAAAGTTTTGAAAAAAAAAAAAGGAGGTACTTCTTAAGAAATAAAATTAATGTTCTGTCATTTTTGCAAAGTTTGACGTCACGTAATAGACAAAATACAAATGCTAGAAACCTCAAATTTTTTTTGAAGAAATTGTAGTCCATAGTGCTAATATTCCCATTTTCTACAATAATAGATGCTATATATAGCATGTCAAAAATGCACAAACATTTGTGCGTATTGGGATAAGGCGCCCAACCGGGACGTATCCCTATGTGCCATATGATTGATGGCCGGGTGGCCAGACTAAGAGCCGATTCTGTTGTCACATTTCTGATTTTTTATTCTTCTGATTTATTATCTCATAGTGTTTTTAAGATATTGCATTGGAATTATTTTCATATATTGTTCACATAACGGTCTATCGACTGTATATAATTTGTTTCTGTAGTTTATAGAGCAAAATATTTACAGCCCTTCAAACATGTCCGAGGTAAAAAGTTCAGCCACTTAAACATGAAAATGCTAATAAAAAAAAATTGGATGTTTTTTTTATATGTAGATGAAGCATTTTACACCAAATTGCCATGTTTTTCCCATTAAAAACATGGCAAAAAAATATTGCTTCAAAATGCACGCATTTGGCTGCATTGACACTTTCACCCAATATTGATGGGCTGCTATCTCGTACCATTTTCAAGCTTTATATTTGTCTCAAAATGATCATTCATCTAAATATAAATTGTTGCTCTAGTTTATAAATGAAAAAATCAATACCAATCAAATTCCGCGTGTAATTAAAAATATTTTACATATTTTTAAAATTAGGTACTCTATTTTACTCCGCATCGCAGTGTTTTCCCATTAAAAACATGTTGCATTATTTTGTCTCTGTCAAAAATGCTGCGCTTCAAAATGTACCTTCCAGACCGACCTTTCTGTCCCGGCTTGCAGCCTCGATTACTCCTACGTTTATGAAAAAGTTTCTATAAGATTCTCATCTTGTAATAGTGCCCAAGTGCAAATTTCAGGTATATGACACTGCATAAACTGAAACACAACTCCCCAGGAAGAGACAAACACAACATATCTGTTTGCGCTCTCGCGGTAGGAACTGAATGCATCTTAGTGGAACCGAAAATTAACACCACTGCTTCTAACAAATTTACAAGTATACCAAGCAGTCTTTGGCGGCACGGCACAATTTTCTCCAAAATGCCGGCACGCGTACAATCAGACTGTGAAATGCCTCCATGCCTACTACTAGATTATTCTACTAATGCGCAGTTTCTACTCCCCCAAAACGAAGAGAAGTGTTGGCACACCGTTTAGCACCCCTCCTCCCTCCACTCCGCACGGCGCAACGTCATTGGCTGCGCACGCTGCAACGTCGAATCAATGGCTGTGCTCGGTTGCCAATGCTCTCTCCCCATGACCTAGTCGTGGTGTGACAGACACCGACATGAGCGAGTGAAGCCCGCGCAGGTTTCCCATATAAAGCTGTCACTTTAGGAGTGCGCGAACAAATAAGAAAGGTAGAGAGAGCAAGAAGGCGGGGGCCTACCATTGCCAGTGTGGCCTTGAACACCTTGGTGGTGGTCTTGCTAATGGCCGAGCGACCGAGGACGGGAGGGTGACCAGGACTGGCCGAGATGTAGTCCTCAAACGTGACTTTCTTGGTGGGCGGTGGCACCAATGACTTTCTCCGCTGGGCCTGGGGGGGCGGGGCGGCAACGACTTTGCATCAAAAACTCGAGTGGGCAGCGTGGGAAACGCAAACAATGTGCCGCCCAAAATCCTCTTTTTCAAATGAATTTGAGCTAGACAAGATGCTTTGCTAACTCGTTTAGAAAAAAAAAATCGCACTGCATGACTCACTCTCTGAATCACTACACTCAGTGACAACTTTTTTTTGTACTACACTGTTAAGGATAGTACAGCTTCCGCAGCGCTGTTATGGCAGCTGGCATGAGTGCATGCCAATGTGAGGCAAGAAGAAGCCACATACTCAAGCAGCGCTGCGGGGCTGCAGCACTGCGAAAAACTAAGCTAGCCTCGGCAATGTAGCAGAAGAAAGTTGATGACGAGCGTTTCTCGAGTTTCTGGGGCTACATGGCAGCGTGCACAGAAATTTGAGAGCAGAATTTCCTAAGATAATATTTTCACAATATAGCTTTATACAGATAACCTGTCATTCCACCTACTCCATTACTAAGATTAAGCTTTCACCTTACTAGAGCCTATTAAACGCTGTAGAGTCAAGATGCCATCCTGTAGCTGTCGGGCACGGTGCACACTTAAAAGAACTGTCGGAGCCCTTACCGAGCCACCACATTCCGCTACACCAGGTGACAATAATGGTTCACAACAGGTCTTCAATTTACTGCCCCTTTTAGGTAAGCCTGGGTGCCTAGCAACCGACACAGCCTATATTTCTGACTCTTTGTGCTCAAGAAGCCTATTAAATCACAGAAGCTTGAGTACAACACCGCTGTGACAAAGAGCAAATGACCATCTTTGATCACCAAGCACCGCAGGGCTACAGATGTGAGGAAGACAGGGTCACAAACCTCTGCATTTTCAAGGCTGAGGGCATTGCCCCTTGTGAAGCTCTCAATTATTGCTTTGTTCTTGTGAAGGTCCTCCTCGGTAAGATGTTCCCTCCTAGTTTCAAAAGCAGAGACAAGCTGTCACAACAAAGACACACACCAGTACTCCTTTCTGGCAGATCGCTACCCTCGGCAATATTCTAGAAGGAAAACAAACATTTATATCTTCACAACTAGAGACAGTCTCAAAAGCAGAGGCAAGTTGTAACAACAAACACCAGCATTCCCTTGTGGCAAATTACTACTCGAGTTGTGTATATCAAGAAAAACATGCAACAGGAGCAGTAACAACGAAGAATTAACTTTCACGCAATATGCATATCTTGCGTGGCGAAGAGGGAGGGATCGCTGGTCGAGCGCGTCAGCGCGGCACAGCTCGGAGCACGTGGAGCAAAAACACGAGCTGCATAACCCCAGGGATCCCGGGTTCAAACCCCACCCCTACCCGTTTCGGTCTACACGAGCATTGTGCCAGCATGCGGTTGTGTGTCACTACTGCGTGGTGCGCGCTCAAGACCCCAGAATAGCAGTGGTGTGGCACTGGCCAATTTTCTTGTATACACCAAAGACACCAGACGCAAATAGGGGCTGACTAACTTCCTGCCGTCAGAGCAAACAGATAACAAAATTGTGGCGAAGTGAATACGTTTCACGCTGGTTTAGTAAGGTCGCCTCACCTTTTCCTGGACTCAAAGGTAAGCCCGTTGATGTAGTAAAAGTCGGATAGAAACCTTCCAACCATTTCCTAGAAGAGAACAAACGAGAAACAAAGAAAAGTGAAGCCACAACCAGAACTCCAGACAACACGAAAGACGTATGACACTCGGAAGGACGTCCTAGCGACGTCATGGTTCCTGGAACGCGGCTCCAACTGTTTTTGTTTTTTTCCACGTCCTCATACTGGATTCTTAATTTCCTCCCAATGACATCACATTTGAGTCGTGCTGCTGCCTGCCACCGTCCCGGCGGCGGCACAGTGGCCGAAGTGGATATACCATGCACCTGTTCTGCTGAGCGTTGCTCTCCAGCACGACGGTTTGCGGAAGTTTTGGCAGCCACGAGTTTGGCTGCCGCAACGACAGTGACGCCCGCGTTAGCTCTTCTTTTTCTCCGGAACTTCCGGGACCAACTACCGGGGTCGTCGCAACAGAGAGCACGACACATCGGCTCCCGTGACTACGTTCGTTGACACCTTGGGATTACTTTAGATGCGCGGCCAGCGTGGGGACGCCGAATGCGCCAGTCGAGGACGCGTTCCAGGCACGCTAGTAGCGTCGACAAACAACCCCGTACCGTCTTGTTTTCGCGCACGAGCCACCCGGACTGCGCCCTCTGGAAAGTGACCGTCTTGGTCGAGATCTGAGCGGCAACGATGTCACTGCTCATGAGGATGTCCACTTCGTCTTCGATCTCGGCTTCCGTGTCCTGAAAAAGGCCGACGGCGACGTCACCGCGAGAACCCCCGACGACGTTTTGACGCCAAAGGGTCATGCGTCGGACTAGAACGGGACTCTGAATTGAACCTCGAGACGATGCAAGCTGCCCGAGGGGCCCACCGTCAAAGGTCGCCGTACCCGTCGACGGTGCGACCGATTGTTTCGGCACTGACGCGGAGGCGGCAGTTTTTAATAGCCAGCATCGCTCGAAGCCATCCTCTGATTGGTGCTCATTTTCTTATAAGGGTGCACAAGCATTAGAGTCCTGCTCATACACTGCATACATGATACAGCTTGAAATTGTGACTGTATCGGGTATGGCACATAAGCCACAAGCTCCCGAAGACAACAAAACCTTTTTCGTCAAGTGCGTGCGGCTCCAAATACCGTTCAAAGGTAGAGTGGCTTTTTGCTACGAGGGAAAAGCAAGTCTGATGTCTGAACACTTTTTACACCCTAGGTGCGAGATGCAGGGCTACGAGCTCGACCAGCCAAGCGCCAGCCAAAAGGGGCGAAACGCCACACGGGTCGCCTCCGGCACAACAAGCTGTGACCCAAACTGTCACACTGCAACAATAGGAAATGTGGCGGTCCATTCCGACCTCTTCGTTAACGGCTTAACGTACCCGGGGCTTCCCGCAGGGGATCCCCAACACCGCTGGTCCAGTTCGTGCTGCCGCACCAAGTAGATGACGCAAAAAGCTATTGGTAACTTGTGACTTGGTTGAGTTATGTACTTCATTTTTATCGTTGTAGCCCTAAAAACAATGATGATCCTAAGGGACCGTAACACAATGGAAATAAAGGATTTCCTGAAGTTCAAACGATGAAGAGTGCGCACTGTCCATCGAGCAAATGGCCTACTTTGCGACGCAAGGTCTGCCCCTCCGAGCGATTTCCCATGCATGTGTGCAGCTAGAAAAGAATGAGTAAACGTAGCCGCCCCAAAACAGGATCTTTGTCAGAGCACTCACTTCGTAGCGGACGTTTTGATAGACCCTGAGGTTGTTGTCCAAGACCGTTAGAGACTTGGAAGGCTTGTCGTTCCCCGTAAAGAGAAAGGTAATGTCTCCTCGCTCCCATTTCATGTCGTTGAAGTCGACAAGTGTTGTGTCCAATCTACAAGAGATCAGCCACAACAAGACGTTTGTAAATTATCACCGATTGCAAGGCACCTGCCCGCTTTGTTAAGCATAGGAATGCTTTACAATGCAGCCACAATGAGTCAGGTGTGAAAAACTGCAGTTATTGAACATGCACAAGAGGAAGCATAAAATGTTCTATTCATGTTCAAAAACCACCGTAGAAAATTCCAAATCCCAAACTTCAAAAATCACTTCAGCTTCTTATTGAAGGTAACCTTTCTCCCACCCTACACACAACTGCAAGCACGGCATCCAGACTTGTGGTTAATACATGCCAGCACGTGCGGCATACACAGAAAAGTAACTTTGGCAGGCTTGCAATTGAACATGCTTTTCCCCATAAGCGGAGACATGACACTGGCCAGATGACATGCTTGTAACCGTGCGTGGTCACACGGAAATTGTCTCCAGTTATCGAGCCCATAGAGGTAAGACACAACTAATAACACCAAACAAATACATAAAGCTGCAACTATAAGCAGAGTTGAAACTTGCCAAACACACAAATACCAGATGAGTTGTAGCATGCGAAATGAAAGGTAATACAGCAATACAAACCTAATATTAGACCCCTTCTTGTGTATTTTGCAGATGTCAGATGGCAAAATCCTAGACACTAGCGGTACTGAAAAAAAAAAAAAAAAAAGGAGGAACACAAAGTGGCCTAAGTAAGAACTCTTCCAAACCGCAGAAAAAAATAAAGGTGAAAGCGGCATCATGTTTGGAGCTCGGCCCAAGCAGATGGTACTCACTCCAACTTTGAAAATCCCACTTGAGCTCCATGTAGAAGTCCCCCATGCGGTTGAGAATGTGTATTAAGTCCGGCCTCCGGAAGTCCATCGCTTCCCTCGACTGCTGCTTCAACTTCCGTAATAAGGAAAGTACTGATGTTGTTGTTTTTTGTTGTTTATTTATGTTCAAGGAAGAGAAAAAAAAGCAACAGGAAATAAAGTTATCAAGACAAATCGCACAAAGGGCCTCGATGGCTTGATAAACAAGTCTGATAAAAAGAAAGAACACCAACTTGTTTGCCGGTCTCCATAGCTGATGGCTTCTGCTAGACAGTTCCATCCTTGAAAGTTCTTCACTTTCACAGGAGCATTGTGGGCCAGAAGTAGCTGTACGCATTCTGCCAACATGAGGGCCAAAAACAATGATCGTCGTTCTCAGAAAACCCGTTCACGGGATTTGAAGACGTTATTGCTGCACCACAAACACTGTCGGTTACATTTAACCCGCAAACGGATACAGTCGCTGGCAGAACAAGAATGGCCGGGCACCCTTTTTAAATGCTCGGCCTCCAGGAAACGCTCATTGCCTTCCACCATGCTCTGACTCCGAGCACTTGGTTGAGGCCCACAAGATGCCGAAGCATCCCTGAAGGCAGGAAGCCCACATTCAAGAAGAAACAACTGAAGGACCTGCCTGCCAATCTTTCACCCTGTCACTGACCATAGGAGAGCGGAAGCGATGGCTCGGAAAAAAAGGCCCAAGAACATATGACACGGCAGCCATAAGCTGCACATTCGTATACAACCACTTTTTTACATGTTTCAAGCGTTTCGTTTTCTAACAAGCTTGACCGTCTTGGCCGCTCGAGAGAACGGTTACTAAGATATCTGCCACCAAAACCAAAGGGTGACGACACTGGCCTTGAGGACATTTACATATGCAGGTCGTGACCAGGCATGTACACGTCACGCAAAAAGTAACTAAATATTGTTACTCGTTGCTCGCTCAAAAATTAACTAAATACGTAACTCGTTACTGATTCACAAAAGGAATGCATTACTATACTTCAAAAGTATAGTTACTTTTCTCGTTACTTTGATGACCAAACAAATAAATACAACACAGCTTTTGTTTCATGGCTTGTTGTTTTCTTTTCAGCAGTCAATGCATTTAAGCATCAACTGCCTCTCAAAGTTTTCATCAGTTATGTTCCCCCGCTTCCTTGAAAGTACATCTCCAGTGACGTTAAAGAGTCGTACTGACGTGCTCGAATGAACGGCACTGCTGTGCTTTAGGAAGAGCTCGTGAATCTGGAATCCCCCTCTCTCTTTTGTTCTGTCTGCTTCTAAAGTTCTAACTTAACAATGGATTCTGTGCTTTCCCCCATTAAACACCTCTGGGTTTACATTCGCTCTTTACACAATTCTAAAAGGTTCAACGAACAAAGCTTATCGTGTTCTCTGGGTGTATGACATTCCCCGCTGCAAAGTTTGATGGACGTGTTTAGCGATAAACGTTGCTGTACTGTCATACTGTTTAGTTGACTTTTGGGTTACCCAATGGCCTTTGTCGCAATAGACGCATACTCAGCTTAGAATTAGAACGAGGCTGTTTAATTGCTGTTGTACACGTTACTTCTCAAAAGTAACGAAGTACCGTTACTCGGCCTTAAAAGTAACTAAGTGGGTTACTCATTCCTTTTCTAAAGTAACTAAGTATGTTACTCATTATCAAAAAAAGTAACTATGTAGAAGTAAGTTGCTATAGTCCGTTGCAACTCAAGAAGGTAGGGTGAGGGTAAGACGGGACGGGGAGGAGGAAGCAGACGGAATGCTAAAGAGAGAAAAGGAAGTTTCCCCCCCTCTTTTCTAGCATCCTGTCTTGCCCTCGCTCTACCTTCCTGAGTTGCAACAGACTATAGTGACGCATTACGTATGTCTGGTCGTGACATCCGTCATCCAGTTTGAACTAAAACTAGGAGACGAAATCACCGCTTTGAAATTTTTACAAGTACCAACAACCGTTGCTGCGCGAAATGCACGCCACGAGCAAGCGCCGAGGCACAATTTGCTTCCAAGCACCGGACAGGCCTCGTGCCTCAGCGCACTCGACCCCACTCGTAAAACAAAAACAAACACGTGCATCAAGGGGCTTTTGTTTGAACCGGTTAGTTGGTTGCCCATCATAAAAGAACATCTGGCTCTCATATATTGCATTGTGCACACAAGTTAAGACTGTATCTCGCATCCCACCCCAAAATTAGTAAAAGTTTCAAATATTGATAAGCTGCCGTGTCGCGACCCGGGGCCATTCGTAAAGTTTTTTATTCTTTATTCGGGAAAACCCCGCAACGCCTCTTGGACATTATTGCAGAAGCACGATGCATTAAAAAATAAATCAGCATTCTCACGACACACAACTTCCGCTGGTAACGACTTCCACTTTTCTCAATTCTCACGATGCGAGGGCAAACAAAGAAGGAACCATGAAATACAGATCATAAAAAACTGTACTCCGAGGAGTAGACTGATCTAGTTTATGCTAGACGTGACAGGAGCAAGGAGATGTAAACTAGGGACCATAAACCGTACACTTGGAGGTGCACTCCTGCCCGGCTTGACTGAAGTTGCAGGTAACAAGCAAATGCACGCTCCAGAAGCGATAGTTTCTCTTTTTTTAGAAGACTGTTCCTTCAATTCTCTTTATTACAATAAAAACCAACCGAGTCAGTCAAGTTAGTTCCATATTTAGCTTCCGCTGGTCCCAAAACTGATTTATTAGTTTACCAAGATATAGCGGCACTAGGCATCCTACCATTAGAAATGGCCAAGTGGAAAGAAACATCTAAATCTAGTAGACTGTTGAGAAAGGTTACAAATTAAGAGTGGATATGCGCAGGAATGCACAAACGACACCGCTAATGTGGCAGACGACGCTGAGCAAAATATGCCAAAAATAGGATGCAAATTGTGGGATAAAAAGCAAACAGGCCCAGCAGTGGTAGGAAGGAGTCAAGTGAATACAGGAATTAGAAGAAAGGCAGAAAGGAAGCCTGTTTGAGAGCCACTGCGATTCAAGACCAAGGTAAGGCCACCTCTAAATAGTTAGCATCCATCCATTACCTCCATGGGACTAGACAGGCATCCAACAATAGTCAGCGGAATATATTATTCAAAGATGTTTTTTCTAGGTCCTTAATTATGATAACACGAATTATCTGAAAGGTAGAATATGTTAATGATGGTTTATGCATCAGCGTCTTTGTAAGCTAATAAAGCAGGTATCTCAAAAAAAATAATATGCACGATTTTTTTTTTTTTTTTTTTTTTTTTGCGGCGCAGGATTTTAGGGGAAAAAAAATGTTTGAATTGAAATTTTCCCCCGCAGGCTAGACACCAGGTGCGAATTACAGTCCGAAAAGTAGGCTAGTTAGATGTTTGGTGCGTTGACCGGCTACGATACACAGCGTGCCCGTTAGAAATTGTCACTTGTCAGCATCCCTCATCAACGGAGCGTGTGAAAAGTTGTCCGATCACTTACCTTTTTGACCAAGCATAACTGCCAAATGAAGGGGCGTGTTTCCTGCAAAGCAAGGCACGCACTATTGACGATCTGCAACTAAAACAACAATAACCTATTCCTTTTCTTGTTTGTTTTACTAAGATAGCCACCCGTCATATCCTGTTTTGCGAGTGTTTTGCGTACTTTAAAGCAAGGCTTGACAGCTTACAAAGGTCGCACCAGTGGCGCCAACAGCAGGTAATACTAAGTTTATCGGTAACATCGCCAAGTGAAAGTGTTTTCAGCTGGCAGGTGACATTTGAAGCAACCTACATAGGCAGGCTACAATTAAAGGGAACGCTTTTAGACACCGAGTTGTGCTAGCCATCGGGAAGTCAATGTGGCTATGTTACCTATCACCGGTAGCAGAACAAATAAAGGACTCGTCTTGGAACCTTTTACTGCCGAAGTAACGGTACTGATATGGTTATTTTTGGCAATTATATCACCGTTTTGTCCCCATGTAGCGATAGCTGCCAGGTGCGCTGCTTGAAAGCGACGGGGTACTGGCACCTAATTCGAGGGAATATGGAGGTGCCTATGGTTGAGGGAGACTTACCGTGAACGTCTTTCTGCGCGACGTCGTGCGTTCTGAGGAGGGCAGAGACACGGCGGACGTCCCCGCGAAATACATTTTCGTGTAACGGGTACTGACTGTCGTTGTCCGCCATGTTTTCATCTCGTGGCATCTCGTTCGGCGCGTTGCGGCACGGGATCAAAATACAAACAAATAGGAAGGAAACAAAAAAAAAAAAAAAAACGAGCCAAAGGAGCAGACGTAGCCAGAGACGTAGCCGTTGGACGTAGCGCCCCACCGATTTGAAGTTTCGGATTCGGTAACAGCTGGTGTAAATAAAACGGGACGCGTTAGAAATCATCTTATAAAAGTTACCCCAAGGAGAGATATAAGATTCAATTAAAATCACCCAGACAAAAATCTGCAGTTTGATGCTTCGCACACTACTGTTTAAAAAAAAAAAATGATACTGCGATTTTTTTTTTTTTCGTCTCTTATATGTTTTGTGAGATCGTTGCATTTTCATCGTGTCGCCTTTCGGGGGTTATGCATTGTTCTTATAAAATTCTTCTAAATGAAAAACTGTAATTTGTTTGTTGTTTCTTTTCTATGTACTGGTCTGTCCTCGACGAGGCGAGCAGAATCCGCTCTGCATTTGAACAGACTGTGGTTTGCATTTATTGCAATTAATAATAAAGTATACATATATTTCGCTTTAAAGGGATGCTACAACAAAATTTCGGCGCTCATTTTTTGGTCTATATGTGTTCAAAAAAGCAGCATCATATCGAACATACCAATATCTTGTTAAAAAAGTCACGAAAAGGAATTTTAAAACGAATTAGACGATTAGCAAAGAGCACCTGGTGGATGTCGCTAACGCCTCGCTTGTAATGCCCGTCTAGGAACCTTGACAGCTAGTGACGGAGGTTGTCTCGTCTCCGGCCACGACGAGAGAAGAGGGGCAGGAGGAACTCCCCTTTTACCGAGAATGCCTTTTGTGTGTCGCAGAAGTCGCTACTGTCCCCCTACAAGATTATAGAAGATTAACCCGTCACTCAAAATTCGTACAAAAGCAGCCGCTTCGGTGGCTGGAACGACTAGGCCATCCTCTCGACGTCAGCCTCGCCGTAGCTTTGCTCGTCTTGAGACGACCTACGTCACGATAGCGTTGAATGTCACGTGGTCTCCGCTGGGCCTTCTCCGAGCGCTTGCCAGAGTGGGCCGTTTATAACGAAAAATACAGCCACCAGGCTCAAAATACAAACGTGCGATTGTCATTTACGGATATTGTGGATCATATTCAACCTGTTTTTGAACACGACGGGAATATTTCAAATTTCGTTGAAGTATCCCTTTAAAGGGATACTACAACGAAATTTCGGCGCTCATTTTTTAGTCTATATGTGCCCAAAGGACAGCATCACATCGAACATACCAATATCTTGTTAAAAAATTCACGAAAAGTAATTTTAAAACGAATTAAACGATTAGCAAAGAGCACCTGGTGGATGTCGCTAACGGCTCGCTTGTAACGCCCGTCTAGGAACCTTGACTGCTAGTGACGGAGGTTGTCTCGCCTCCGGCCACGACGCGAGAAGAGGGGCAGGAGGAACTCCCCTCTTCCCGAGAATGCCTTTTGTGTGTCGCAGAAGTCGCTATTGTCCCCCTACAAGATTACAGAAGATTAGCCCGTCACTCAGAATTCGTACAAAACTTACATCGTAAACCGGAGACACGGAAAAATTAAAAAGAAAAAACGGACAAAACAACAACAAGTGTTGTTGTTTTGTTCTTCACCAGCTCGCCTGTGCTTTTACCCTTTCTTCGTACAAAAGCAGCCGCTTCGGTGGCTGGAACGACTAGGCCATCCTCTCGACGTCAGCCTCGCCGTAGCTTTGCTCGTCCCGAGACGACCTACGTCACGATTGCGTTGGATGCAGTGTCGAACCGAAATTTTTATTGGTTCGGTTCTTGTTCGGGTTCACGGCTTTCGGTTCGGTTCCGGTTCACTTCCGGGGAGCAAAAAATAACGGTTCAAACCGGTTCGAACCGGTTCGAACCGGTTTGAACCGCTAAATTGAGAATATATTTTCCACGTTGTTCTGGCACTATACACTATTTACGTCGTAAAACGATAAACTATATAGTTTCTTCGATCGTCCGTGCAATTTACTTTTATTTTTATGTACCAAAAATATGAAATTCAGTTATTTAATTTCGACGCCAGAGTACAAGAAAATCTACATTAACGTACATAACGTCGTGTTCATACGACTCAAGATCCCTCTGTTTACTACATATATTTTACCTGAATCTAAATGTTTAAATACAACAGTAAAGCGTTGAGCTTGTTGGTACGTACCTGTAAATAAATCAGCTTGAAATTTAGAACATAACTGTATTTTCTTGTCCTTTCTTCATGTTACAGTAGAATTTTAAAGTTCAAGCTGATCTATTTACACTGTATAAAATGTTGTCGCGAAGTGTGGTAGGTCGCCTAAAATACCCTTGATTGGTACAACTTTTTGTCTTGTGTCCTTGAACTAAGGAATTAATTACAACACAAAATTATTAAATGAGCACCTCGTGGCCACATATATAATAAAATTTGGTTTATGAAATATGCTTCCCAATATATATGTATATTATGATGACAAAACTGAGCTAAAAGCAATGAAATTTTCAGAATGTCACAAAAGTTTTAGGATAATTCTTTTCAATCTATTTTTATAGAAACACAGAGTGGCAAGTCAAAATGCTTGTTGTTCAAACCAAACATTGTTTACATTCAGCACCGCATCATGCGACTAATCATGCAGCAAGGAGCTGCTTACCTGCCCTAATCTATACGCACCTTCTCTAATCTATACAGGCTCTAATCTATACGCACCTTCGCACTCAGATCGAATCTGACCCAAAATAGCGCTTGACCAGGTGAACATTTTATTATACAGGATACGCCGGCATAGCTTGGCTGTTGAGGTCTGTTCTTGACAAGGTGCCGGTCAATTTAATTTGCAAATGAGCATCACCCTTGCTGATTGATGATTTCAACGCGATAGCGTGAAGGAGCTAATGTCGCGAAAAAGCCGATGTCGGTGGCGTGACTGGAAAATCCTGATTGGTCGATAGGGTCACGACGTCAGAGCTACATGCCCTCGCGCAAGAATTTCGAACAACCCACAATGCTCACGTGAAACGTGACGTCACGCGTGGAATGAGAGTGATGAAAACGTGACATGTAATGCGAATTAAAGGTCGCCTATGTCTCAAATGATTTCACTTTTTAAAGTAATTCCTTTGCCTTAAAGAAAAGGAAATTAAGAATTTTAAGCGGGATTTGAACCCACGACCTCTCGGTATCGAGTCAGAAGCTTTTGACTAGACCACGCGAAGCACGTTAGCGCGGCAAATGAGAATGCGATGCAAACGAGGTCCGTTAACGCTATCGCGTTCCACTTTTAAAGGCAAAGCTTGAGCGTCCTCCAGGATTTTTCATTTATTTATTTTTTGTTAAGTAAAACGAAGTAGTATTTTTTGTTAAGTAAAACGAAGCGCGTAATCGTCATAGTTCCGCCGCGCGCCCTTCTTTACATTGTTTTTGTCCAGCCCACATACACGTAAACGTAATGTTCACCGCATAAAAGAGTCAATACCAACATCTAGATGTTTGAGAAGTTATATGTGTGAGGAACACATAGTTATTTAAATTAGCTTCAAAATCAAAAATAGGTATAAGGCTGTCCCATACCACTTTAGCGTGCAGTGTCGAGGATGAAAACGCCGAAAAAGATTGGCAGAACGCCTTTCAGATAATTTGGGGGGCATTGCTTTAGGGTGGTCGGCCCTTTATTTATGTTATCAAATATTCAGTTAGTAATTAAATATATTTTTTTATAATGATGTATAAATCTTACTTTATAAAGTTCCCATAACCGCATGAGAGCCACGCGGAAGGACGATACTCGAAACTACGTGAGCTGTGGAGGCTGCGTAAAAGTATTTTTCTGTTTGACTGATTGACAGTGTGAAACATCACGTTGCAGGGTACGCCAATAAGGACTCTGTGCTCGCATGATAGATTGGAAGTCAAATGCACGAAATGTGCAAAAAGTGAGAGATAATTAACGTTATTTTTCTGAATAACCACTTGCAGAACGCCTTACTGCAAAAAAGATGCGTAAAGATGAACGCAATGAAATTCATACTTTTACATAAAAAGGGCGAAGGACAAACAAAGATTCTTAAAATCTCAGTATAAATCACATTTCATCAGCTTGCATGAGCTCCAAACTTCGCGAAATACTGGCTCGGGAGGCTACTATTATATTAGGTTTTACCTGCACTTGTTTTGGGCCCTCACTTTACAACAGGTTGCTTGAATAGTCATGCGCTCTAACATTTTTCTATAGGCTGCCATATATCATCGCGAGACTGCTATAAATACTGCACAACTTTACAATTAGGAAATCTATTTCTATTGTTGCGAACATCACATTTCACCAGAAAGATGAACTGTTTAACATGGTACGCACGTGACGTCATCACACTATACGCTGGTGGTCATTCTGATTTCTTTTTGCTGAGAAAATTGAATTCGGTGGTGCAAAATGCACGCTGCAGGAGGTTCAAGCTCAGTGAAAGCCGAGTATTTTAAAAGCACGTATTATTATGCTTAGTGCGTCGTCCTGAGGAACGGCGCGAGCGTCTGGCACGACAAAAACGTGCTTTTTGGCAAGAGCGTTTTTGCAAGCAAAGTAGTTTCCGGAGCCACGCTTTTTGGTCTGCCCCAAAGATGCGGGGAAGAAGAACCTTTACAACACAGTATATTCTTAAAACTAACCCCCTCCCCTCCCCCCCCCCCCCCCCCCCCACACACACACACACACTTCTTTTTACAGCGGAGCTGTTAAGGGATAGTTTCCCCAGTATCGTGTCCGTCAGCAAACAAATGATGACACAGAACTCTGGACAGCTACCGCCATCTATAAGTGACGACGGCAACCAGACAATTGACTTTCCGGTAGTCTGGTTGCCGCCGTCGCGCATAGATGGCTGCAACCTCTCCAGCCTTTCCACTCTGGCTTGCCGACTTGCGGCCGGCCATTACTTCATTCCCACCATAGTACAGCTTCGCTGGTCTTCCTTCATCACTGAAGTGGAAAGGCTGAAAATATTCCTGAGGGATTACCTCCTCCATTTGTGTGTGCTAATTCG